ACACCTGCCTGCTGCCATTCCTGAGCAAGCTCTGCACTGGTGGTGCCCCAATCCCGCAGCTGAATCAACTTTAGGAGACGGTCCTGGCGCTTGCTGGACTTTTTTGGGCGCCCTGAAGCCTTCTTCACAACAAATTAACCTCTCTCCTTGAAGTTCTTGATGATTCATGATGACATGAAAAATGTCTAAAAACCTGTTTTTGCTTTGCCATTATGGGGTATTGTGTGTTGATTGATGAGGGGAAAAAACAATTTAATCAATTTTAGAATAAGGCTGTAACGTAACAAAATGTGGAAAAAGTAAAGGGGTCTGAATACTTTCAGAATGCACTGTACCTGTATGGTTATGAATATAGCTAGCTAGGATGTTTAATGTTGGTGAGGTAATATCTTTCTAAGTAAAGTGCAGCTATGCTAGCTTTTTCTAGCAAGCCAGCTGATTGCAGCTGAAATTGAAATGTAACCTTTGATCCTATTTAGGAAAAATTGATTTCTGTTTAGAAAACATGTATTTCATAATCCCCCTAAATATGTTTTTCTTCATTAAAACGGCCTAGAGGAGAGTCCCAGTTTGACAGTAGGTGATTGGCATACTGGGACACTGTCAAAATGTCGCTATTCTAAAAAGGTTATAGTAAAAAACAATTGACAGTCATTTTGATTTACAATTACATCCCATTTCAAAATATGTTGTTATGAGACACTGAATATATTTTCTTCTTTTTTTATAACCGAAACATTATTTACCTCAGAACCACAGGAGAGAACAGACTCGTGGTAATGAGTGGAGCGGAATCGGTGGAATGGTTTAAAATACACTACCAGTCAAAAGTTTGGACACACCTACTCATTCAAGGGTTTTTCTTTATTTGTACAATTTTTTACATTGTAGAATAATAGTGAAGACAACAAAACTATGAAATAACACACATGGAATCATGTAGTAACCAAAAAAGTGTTAAATGAATCCAAATATATTATATATTTGAGATTCTTCAAATAGCCACCCAATGCCTTGATGACAACTTTGCATGCTCTTGGCATTCTCTCAGCCAGCTTCATGAGGTAGTCACCTGGAATGTATTTCAATTAACAGGTGTGCCTTCTTAAAAGTTAATTTGTGGAATGTATTTTCTTCTTAATGAGTTTGAGCCAATCAGTTGTGTTGTGACAAGGTAGGGGGGGGTATACAGAAGCTAGCCCTATTTGGTAAAAGACCAAGTCCATATTATGGCAAGAACAGCTCAAATAAGCAAAGAGAAACAACAGTCCATCATTAGGACACCAATAATTAGAAGAGACTTGCTTGGGCCAAGAAACATGTGCAATGGACATTAGACCGGTGGAAATCTGTCCTTTAGTCTGATGAGTCCAAATTTGAGATTTTTTGTTCCAACCGCTGTGTCTTTGCGAGACGCAGAGTAGGTGAACGGATTATCTCTGCATGTGTGGTTCCCACCGTGAAGCATGGAGGAGGAGGTGTGATGGTGTGTGGGTGCTTTGCTGGTGACACTGTCAGTGATTTATTTAGAATTCAAGGCACACTTAACCAGCATGGCTTCCACAGTATTCTGCAGTGATATGCCATCCCATCTGGTTTGCGCTTAGTGGGACTTTCATTTGTTTTTCAACAGGACAATGACCCAACACACCTCCAGGCTGTGTAAGGGCTATTTGACCAACAAGGGGAGTGATGGAGTGCTGCATCAGATGACCTGGCCTTAACAATCACCTGACCTCAACCCAATTGAGATGGTTTGGAATTAGTTGGACCGTAGAGTGAAGGAAAAGCAGCCAACAAGTGCTCAGCATATGTGGGAACTCCTTCAAGACTGTTGGAAAAGCATTCCAGGTGAAGCTGGTTGAGAGAATGCCAAGAGTGTGCAAAGCTGTCATCAAGGCAAATGGTGGCTATTTGAAGAATCTCAAATATAAAATATTTTTTGATTTATTTAACACTTTTTTGGTTACTACATGATTCCATATGTGTTATTTCATAGTTTTGATGTATTCACTATTATTCTACAATGTAGAATATAGTAAAAATGAAGAAAAACCCTTGAATGAGTAGGTGTGTCCAAACTTGTGACTGGTACGGTACATCAAACACATGGTTTCCAGGTGTTTTATGCCATTCCATTTGCTCTTTTACGGCCATAATTATGAGCTAGTCTCCCCTCAGCAGTCTCCTGTGCTCAGAAACCTATGTAATTTTACTTACCATTACACCTCTAGAGATCCGTGTCATTACACGGGATGCCACGCCCACAATGATGACGTAATACCCTTGAACCCTTTTTTTATCGTCACATACTTCCTCACTAACACACAGGCATTGATTGTTGGCTATGTTATTGTGTACATTTAAATATGTCCATTACAAAGCTTAAGTGTCACACTTTGCCATGTGTCCCTCTTAATCAATACTCACCCTACGATTACTACTACTACATAGGCCGTTTTCTATCAGTGAAGTTGTTTATTGCCTTCAGTTCTGCTTCAAACCTAGTTTATCCAATAATATTTGAAGGGCAAATTCCAGTTTATTTCAAGGGCAAATTCCAGATAATTTCCAAACTATATAAGTGGACACACATATTTTTGAAGTGCACAGAAATTAATTAGTTTGAATGAATTTATTTATTTATTTAAATCTGAAAAATTCGCTTTTCTCTGAATTGTCATGCTGCGAAATCGATTTATCACTACCCTTTCTCAAAATGACAAAACTTCTGTATTCATCAGTGCGACAAATCTCAGAGGAGGGATTTGTGTGGCGCACAACATCTACTGGTGAGCCCGCGCCCCACTTACAGAAGTAGCTGAAAGAGCTTGGAGACAGTATGTTATAATGTGCTGTGAAGACGGGTGCGGTGCCAAACTGGAAAATGGTACTTCGTGTGCGTTATTTGACTGGAACAGAGTCAGATGTTCATGGACCACACCGTTACACTATGGGACATTGTACCTCACAGAAGCAGCAAAGCAGGAGACGCCAAGATGATGATTTCTTTAGCAATTAATTCGTAATTAATTTGATTACTGTTATGAGAACAGTCAAACTTGTTCTCATCAATCTTCATTGAAAAGACATGTCCATAGTACCCTTGCGTCGGCAAATTGGTGAAATATAATTTCTGAAGACGTTGACAGGTGGGGATTTTCCTTTAATTAATCATGTTTTTTGTTGTTTTTTTACGTAGTTTCGACCAAAATGTCAGTTCTTTATCACAAGTGAAATATTATAACCTCTAGAGTGAATATTTATTTTTGGATACAGTGATTTTTACGCATGACGCACGTGATGTCAGGGATTAGCCTACCTTTTAACTTTGTTTAAGGGGTTAATAAAGCCGTAGAGCTAGAAGTAGAAGTGAGTTGATGAAAATCGGTTACAAAACGCTGCTCAATCGTATATAAAATCATATTTTTTCAAAGGGTGTCAATCCATTGGCTGAATCTTGACCAGGTGCAGTCATCTCTGACAAAGGCAGTGAAGTACAGTGCCCTCCATAATTATTGGGACAGTGAATTTTTTTCTTCTTCTTTTGGCTCTATACTCCAAAAGTTTGGATTTAAAATCAAACAGTGACTATGAAGTTAAAGTGCACACTGTCAGCTTTAATTTCATGGTATTTTCATCCATATCAGGTGAACCATTTAGAAATGTCAGCACTTTTTGGACATAGTCCCCCCATTTTAGGGGACCAAAAGTATTGGGACAAATTCACTTATATGTGTATTAAAGTAGTAAAAAGTTAAATATTTGGTCACATATTCATAAGACACAATGGCTTGGGACTCTACACATTTGTTGGATGCATTTGCTGTTTGTTTTGGTTGTGTTTCAGATGATTCTGTGCCCAATAGAAATGAATGGTAAATAATGTATTGTGTCATTTTGGAGTCACTTTTATTGTAAATAAGAATACAATATGTTTCTAAACACTTCTACATTAATGTGGATGCTACCATGATTATGGATAATCCTGAATGAATCGTGAATTATGATGAGTGAGACGCACAAATATCATACCCCCAAGATATGCTAACTGCTCACCATTACAATAACAGGGTTAGTATTTGTTAGGGGGTATGATATTTGTGCATCTATAACTTTCTCACTCCATTTCTCACACCATTATTTGCGATTCATTCAGGATTATCCGCAATCATGGTAACATCCACATTCATGTAGAAGTGTTTAGAAACATATTATATTCTTATTTACAATAAAAGTGACTCCAAAATGACACAATACATTTTTTACCATTCATTTCTATTGGGAACAAAATGATCTGTGTAGAGTCACAAGCTTGATGTAGTCATTGTGTGTTATGAATATGGGACCAAATACTTAACTTTTTACTACTTTAATACACATATAAGTTAATTTGTCCCAATACTTTTGCTCCCCTAGAATGGACTATGTACAAAGAGTGCTCTAATTTCTAAACCGTTCACCCGATATGGATGAAAATACCATGAAATTAAATCTGACAGTCTTCACCTCATAGCCATTGATTGATTTCAAATCCAAAGTTTTGAAGTATAGAGCCAAAAGAAGAAAACATGTTTCACTGTCCCAATAATTACAGAGGGAAATTTGATTTCTCTCAATAAAGTAAGCACTATAAATGGCTTTTTACGCACCTCATACTGCTACCATTGCAATGAATGTTGCACAGTGGGAGCCTGGTACTCTTTGCTCCTTATTTGAATGACAATTTATCATAGCCTAGTGGTACACTGCTCATTTTTAAGGAAAATAACATATTTTGTAAGCACTGACTTATAAGTCTGATGCGCTAAAATCTAGGCCAACTAGATAAAAGCTCTGTATACATACTCACCTTGGTCATGACTCAGTTGCTCCGTAAAATGTACATTTTAAATGTCATTTGTGTTGGAGTGCTTTTTATTAATGTGAAGATAAATGTTTTGGGACCATTCAAACATCCTTTCTATCACACGTTGATCCTCAGACTGGACCAGGACTTGATGATGCCAGGCAATGGGAGTTCCGAGGCGGGATGCAGCAGGGCAGCGACACGCAGCTACTCCAACACCAGCTGCAGCCAGACGGAGCTGTCCATCACCGCCTCCGCCATTTCCATGACCGTGGGCATCATCTCCAACATCCTGGCTCTCTGCATCTTGGTCAAAGCCTACCGCCGCTTCCGCCTCAAATCCAAGGCCTCCTTCCTGCTGTTCGCCAGCGGCCTGGTGGGCACCGACCTCCTGGGCCACCTCATTAACGGCTCCCTGGTGCTGTACGTCTACGCTTGCAACAGGAAGTGGGAGACCTTTGACCCGCACCACATCCTGTGCGGTCTCTTTGGGGTGTCCATGGTGTTTTTTGGTCTGAGCCCCCTGCTCCTGGGCAGCCTCATGGCGGTGGAACGCTGCATTGGTATCACCAGGCCCCTGTTCCACTCCACAGTCCTGGCCGCCCACCACATGAAGAGGCTGCTGGGGATGACCTGGCTGCTAGCTGCCCTGGTGGCCCTGCTACCTGTGCTGCTGTGGAGACCCTACCAGGTGCAGCGCTCCCAGAGCTGGTGTTTCTTCCGCGTGGAGGGGCCCCGCGACTGGCTGAACGTGGTGCTCCCACTGATCTTCTCCACGCTGGGCCTCCTGGCACTGCTGGTGTCCATTGTGTGCAACACCTTGACCAGCTGCACCCTACTGCAGTCCAAGCTGCGCTGCCACCGCCAACGTCGCCGCAAGGACACCTCCCACCACTTTGAGATGATCTGCCAGCTCTTGACCATCATGCTTGTGTCCTGTGTGTGCTGGGGCCCTTTATTGGTAAGGCTTCTTCCTCCTCTTTTCCCTGGGTCTTATAAGCTCTTATCTCTGGTATGTCTGTTAAGCAGTGATGAAGAACTCACTTTCACCTCATCTCTGCCAACAGTCCTCTGCATTGGTGGAGTCTGCCAAGATTCCCACAGCAAGCCATTTGTTCTTCTACTTGGAATGCTTACAAATCCTTTCAAAAGGAAAGAGAGCTATTTAAACCTTTGAAGAGATGCTCAAGATGTTTAATAGGGCACAGATTTTTGACCTGTTTGGTATTTTGTGCTTTTGACCCTTGTCAATTAGGGCAGTTTTCTGGCATATTATGTCCTTCTTTTCTCCCAGTACTTTGTGTAGTTACTTTACATCCATTTCAATGACATTTGTTTTTGACACCCCTTTTTAAGAGAAAAATATGGTATGCAGCCAAAGTAGATGTGAGAGCAACACAATATGCTGTGGGAAACTGATGAGTCTTATTGTAATAACTAATCCTCCTTTGAGAACGTTTTTATTTATATTCCTGACATTAATCGTAGACCAGGTTTCTTAAAATTAAAAGGACAGTATAATAACTTACATTAAGATGGATCGTTAACACTTGATGAGAAGGCTTGTAAGGGAAGGTCAAACAATATTGTTTATTCTCTGGCTAGACATATTTCATTAGACCTACATTAATAAGATGTTTAGGGAGCGTTCAAAATGTACGCATTTGTTACCCGGAGGAAAATGGGGGAGGGTCAACATTTTTACATTTCAGTCAGTGGGAGGGTTAAAAAAATGTTTGGTCCAAGGGAGGTAATGTAATTTGTCATCGATTACATTTCAGTTATTGTCAGCATTTTGTTTAACTTTGGTGTACCACCCTGCTCGCTCGCTCTCTCTCTCTCTCTCTCTCTCTCTCTCTCTCTCTCTCTCTCTCTCTCTCTCTCTCTCTCTCTCTCTCTCTCTCTCTCTCTCTCTCTCCGTCTCTCTCGCTCTCTCTCTCTCTGTCTCTCTCTCTCTCTCCCTCTCTCATTCGCCTCTCTGAGCCCGGCTGGATGGGCATTCCACTTTCACCTTTCCATTGGCGTGTAGAGTATCTGGCGAATCAAATAGCGCTTGTAGTGATGATGTAGGGAGCTAGCGCACGAGAAGAACTGTGGTAGAAACAAATCTGTGGTTTATTGCTGCATTCAAAACAACTCGGAACTCAGAAATCTCAGTCTTGCGACTTCAGTGTGTTCAAGACAACTGGGAACTTGGAAAAAAACGAGCAACTACTGGCAAAAATCACTTTGAACGGTCATACAACTTGGAATTCCAAGTCGGAAAACTCTGGCATCTTTCTAGAACTCAGACATTCCGACCTGAAAATCACTGATCTTGTGATATGATCTTGTTTTTCTTTTGAGTTCCCAGCTGTCTTGAAAGCACCAATGAACAACAACAAGCATGGCATCACACAATTACACAAGGACCACAGCACGTGAAAAAAAGTTATCTTCACAATAATTTAAGGATTTCTTTGCAGTCTCTGTCCGCTGAAGAGAGTCTAGAAAAGTTCATTTGAATTGTGAAGTCTAAAGGAGATGGTTCTTAAATGTGGAAAAAAGTTAATGGATTAAATTGGGTGTTGGAGGGCTTTGCTGCTGCCGAATGGGGAGGACAACAGTCCATGTGGATGGCTGGACTATCTGTATGCCTGTATGCCTAAGAGTTGTTCTCCTTTTTCTAGCGATATGTTTATCCTAGGCTTTCTGTCATTTCATAAACTTAAATATATATATATATATATATATATATATATATATATATATATATATATATATATATATATAAATATATACACCACTGTGTAATTTCATTGGGTAGGCCTATAGGCTATTCACTGCAGTATTATTCCTAATAATTCCTCTTTAGCTCTTGGAGTCCCAGGAAACGCTAGACTAGGCTTACAATAGCTCATTGTACACTTACTTCAAGCATTTTATTTTCTACTGATCGAGGAAAGATTTCAGCTTGCTCTTGCTTGCTGAATGTAAAATACAGAAACCAAAAGAACTGGCTTTGAGTTTGAAAGGAGAGAAAGAGAGGTCTCGATGGTGTGATTCAAATGCACCATATGAGTAGCCTGCTAATGTACCTTTCTGAACTTTGTAAACTGTCTAAGATAAATCCATAACTGATCTAAATGGTTGCATTATCAGGCTTAGGCTGTATGCAGTTATTTCGGCATGAAGCATTCAAAACAGGACGTTTGAGCGGTTATTCAAATTAGCCTACATCACTGCAGTTTACAGCCCTAGCCAGCAATTGTGTAGGACTACACACTTGATAACAATAATACATTCCTAATTGCACTGTGTTGTTGTAGCCTATGGGTAGAATAATGTTGTCTGAAAACATGGGCCTAATTAATAGTGGAGCTTTGCATGCCCGACTGCCCGGGGACTGCAGAGCACAGCCTGGAGGTGTCACACCCTGGCTCTGGGACTCATTATGTTGAGCCAGGGTGTGTTCATTCTATGTGTGTATTTCTATGTTGGTAATTCTGTTGTGTTTAATTCTATGTTTGCCTGAGTGACTCCCAATCAGAGGCAACGAGTGTCAGCTGTTGGCTGGTTGTCTCTGATTGGGAGCCATATTTAAACTGTATGTTTTTCCCTTTGGGTTTGTGGGTTTTTGTTCCGTGTTCGGTCATTGATACCGTGGACGTCACGAGTCGTTTCTTGTTTTGTGTTTAAACTTTAACTAATTAAAGTATGTTTGTTCATCACGCTGCGCCTTGGTCTGTTCCATATGACGATCGTGACAGAAAAACCCACCATGCAACGACCAAGCAGCGTGTCCCGGGGCAGCCCTTGGGCTGGACATGGGAGGAAGCGCCGGGAAAGGCCCTGGCGAAAGAGGAGCAGCGTGTCCAGGAGCAGGCAGCCTGGACATGGGAGGAGATATTGGACGGTAAAGGGTCCTGGACTTGGGGGGAAATCCTGGCCGGGATGGATCGCCGGCCATGGAGTGAGACAGTGGAGAGGCGACGGAGAGAGGAGCAACGGCGTGATCAGGGTCGTCGTCGGACGGTCGTGAGGCAACCCCAGAAAATTTTTAGGGGGGGGCACACGGCATGGACGACGGGGCTGACGGAGCAGAAAAGGGGGCGGATCCAGAAGGCCACCAGGCCAGGGGTACACCGCCCTGTACGTCCTGTGCGGATGCCTCACACAGAGTGTGTGAGGGTAGGCATTCAGCCAGGACGGGTTTGTGGCCGCTCTTCACTCCAGGCCTCCTATCCGTCTCCACAGCCCGGTCGGCCTGTCCCTGCTCACGCACCAGCCGGGTGACCAAGCTACGGGTGCGTCGAGCCCAGCCAGTCACCGCCTGTCCCTGTCCAGCTCACCAGCCTACGGTGTGCGGTCGCATACCAGCCGACCGTGTCCTGCTTCACCCCAAGCCTACGGTGTGCGTCGCAGCCAGCCCGGTCCTGTCCCTGCTCCACGCACCAAGCCTACGGTGTGCGTCGCCAGCCCAGCCCGGACCTGTCCCTGCTTCCACGCACCAAGCCTACGGTGGCGTCGACAGCCCGCCCGGCCTGTTCCCTGCCACCGCACCAAGACTACGGTGTGCGTCGCCAGCCCGCCCGGCCTTGTTCCTGCTCACTCGCACCAAGCTACGGTGTGCGTCGCCACCCGCCCGGCCTGTTCCTGCCACTCGCACCAAGTCTACGGTGGCGTCGCCAGCCCGCCCGGCTTGTCTCTGCCACCGCACCAAGTTACGGTGGCGTCGCCAGCCCGCCCGGACCTGTCCCTGCCCACGCACCAAGTCTACGGTGCGCGTCGCCAGCCCGGCCCGGCCTGTTCCTGCCACTCGCACCAAGTATACGGTGCGCGTCGCCAGCCCGGCCCGGCTTGTTCCTGCCACTCGCACCAAGTATACGGTGCGCGTCGCCAGCCCGGCCCGGCCTGTTCCTGCCACACGCACTAAGCCAGGGGTGCGAGAAGTCAGCCTGGTAAGGCCCGTTCCTCCTCCACGCACCAAGCCAGGGGTGCGAGTCGTCAGCCTGGTAAGGCCCGTCCCTCCTCCACGCACCAAGCCAGGGGTGCGAGTCGTCAGCCTGGTAAGGCCCGTTCCTCCTCCACGCACCAAGCCAGGGGTGCGCGTCGTCAGCCTGGTAAGGCCCGTTCCTCCTCCACGCACCAAGCCAGGGGTGCGCGTCGTCAGTCCAGCACAACCCGTGCCTGGGTCAACTGCTCCACTATGGAGCTGAAGCTAACCGCTCCTGCTAAGTCCAGTCCTGCTCCTGCCGGCGGGGCCAGACTGGACCAGGGGCGCTATGGGGGGTGTATTGGAGGGTGGTGGTCAAGGCCGGAGCCAGAACCGCCGCCGAGGAGGTATGCCCGCCCAGCCCTCCCCTGTTTTGTTCAGTTGAGGCGCGGTCGCAGTCCGTGCCTTTAGGGGGGGGTACTGTCACACCCTGGCTCTGGGACTCATTATGTTGAGCCAGGGTGTGTTCATTCTATGTGTGTATTTCTATGTTGGTAATTCTGTTGTGTTTAATTCTATGTTTGCCTGAGTGACTCCCAATCAGAGGCAACGAGTGTCAGCTGTTGGCTGGTTGTCTCTGATTGGGAGCCATATTTAAACTGTATGTTTTTCCCTTTGGGTTTGTGGGTTTTTGTTCCGTGTTCGGTCATTGATACCGTGGACGTCACGAGTCGTTTCTTGTTTTGTGTTTAAACTTTAACTAATTAAAGTATGTTTGTTCATCACGCTGCGCCTTGGTCTGTTCCATATGACGATCGTGACAGGAGGAACGCACAGATCGGCCATTTCATAATCTGTTAGCTTAACCTTTTTTTCTTGCACTTTGACTGGTACATTTTTAATATTTAGCTAATGAGTGGCCTAATATCTAGCTAATATTTAGCTAATAAGTGGCCTAATATCTAGCTAATATTTAGCTAATGAGTGGCCTAATATCTAGCTAATATTTAGCTAATGAGTGGCCTAATATCTAGCTAATATTTAGCTAATGAGTGGCCTAATATCTAGCTAATATTTAGCTAATAAGTGGCCTAATATCTAGATAATATTTAGCTAATAAGTGGCCTAATATCTAGCTAATATGTGGCCTAATATCTAGCTAATATTTAGCTAATAAGTGGCCTAATATCTAGCTAATATTTAGCTAATAAGTGGCCTAATATCTAGCTAATATGTAGCTTCTTCGGCTACACAACTCTAGCGCCTCTCTTCCAGCTGTTCCCATGTGCAGTGGGTTATAGGCTACGGAAGCTGTACAGTAGGATGCTTTGATCAGTTGATTGACAGGCGTAGGCTACTGTAGAACGACAAACTTTCCTCTAGTGTGGATGCTCATCAACGTTTTATAGTTATGTATAATGTGTCGTTATAGTTATCGTCCTTACTGTTGAAGGCCCTTAACGCTTAAATTGGTAAATGCTACCCTCTAACGGATGAATATGGTATGAACTACAGTAGTGGTTCTCAACCACGGGTTGATTTGATAGAAATGACGACTGCAACATTGATAGCCTACTGAAAAGGGATTTCATATTCCAGCTATTTTGTTTAATGATCATTTTGGAGGGGGAGAGTTGCATGTTTTCTTTTTCAAATGCTCGGGGAGGGCCAGGTAAAAATATATTTTCCTCAGGGGGAGGGCCATCCATTTTCATTTCAGAGAGGTCCGATGACCTCCAGGTATCCCTCAATATAAATAATGTTCACTCCCTTACTGCCCCTCACACATCACTGTGTACACAAAACACTATTACACATTCTCAAATCCAGTTTAATCATATTCTATTCAGCTATTTCTAGGACAATTCAAAAAAAAAGTGGTAGTTTAAATCAAATCCTTTTTTATAATTTTCCCTTGATTCAAGAGAGCGTGGTATACTGTAATAACGCAATGTGAAGCGTTGAACAAAGCACAGTAATCAACTAACACTTATAACAACAATTAAAATGGTTCCCTTCAAGTAATTACATTCTGTCTCACATAATGTCCTATGTTTACTCTCCTAGGTTAACGTCATCATACTGAGCACCCAGGTCCAGGGCGAGCGTGCGTTTGCCCGCCTGCTGCTGGCAGTCCGCATGGCCACCTGGAACCAGATCCTGGACCCCTGGGTCTACATCCTCCTGAGGAAGGCCGTCCTCAAGAAGCTCTTCCTGCTGGTGCACAGCTGCTGGGGCACCAAGTCCCACTCCCACCCCCACACCCTTAACCACTGGAAGTGCAGCCCAGTGAAGGGCTCTGGGGAGACCAGCGGCACCTCCATCAGCACTAAGCCAGACTTCTTCTCTTTGGATAGAAATGTTGGAGGCCTACCAGACACAATACTTAAGCCCATCACCTGAACCCCTGGATGGGGCATCTGATCTGAGAGACCCTGGGTCCCAGGTGAAGGGTGGAGTATTTGCAGGCAGCACCTGTAGCACATTGATGTATAGTTGGAGTAGGCAATAAGCTAAGGAACCAGATAAGATTTGTTTTTGGAGGAAGATATGCAGGAGCATATGAAGTATTGTACACTCATGAGGCGAACAGACACTGGTAATAGGCATGTTGGTTATCATTGACAGTGACACACAGGACTAAGATGGACCCTGGAGTTAGTTAGCCCCAGTGAGTGATATTTCTATCTAACCTATAACCGACCTTGAAAGGATGAACTTTCCAGTCTGCACTAGCTGTCAATATTGTCTTCTTGAGTCTTCACTGTGACCGCAGTTATGGCTTATAAACCCAGCTGCTCAGAACTAAAGACATCTGCAGCTGTAGAGTTTCTCACAGCCCTTGAAGCATGTGTAGAATGGCAAGGCCAATTGATTATTTCAAGCTCCCTATCAGCCAGTGAGTGAGTGCCAGTCAATCTGAAATATCGCCTCAGCAGGTGTTCCTCTGGTCAAATTAATTGTTCTGTTGTTTCACAGTCTTCTGGAGTCCCAATATGGCAGTTATGTCATCATTTCCACGTAGAATGATTCGTTTTGGATACTGAAGAGACTCTTCTGGCTGGCCCGGCCATTGAGGTTGCTGTTGTGTTTGGCAGATGGTTGGCCTATCTCTTTGACCTGCTGCGGGGCTATGGACTGATGAAAAATGAGTTTTTGACACATTTTGTATTTATGTGTCTGTCTGTCTTAAGTGAGAGTACTTTTTGTCCACAGGTTTTCTGGATTAAAACATTTTCTGAAGTCATTCGTCATTCTCTCATCATGGGTGTTCAGACTGCTCACCATTCACAGCACAGTAACTCAGTTTAGCTCATCTGATGAGTTGATCACCGCTATCCTTTCAGTGGTTTTAAAATGACTTAGCATGATAATTTTAATTTAACAGTGCTTTCTTATATGATGTACTGTGTGTTGATGTAACATTACATATCTATGGACTATGTATACAGGTGAATATAAGTACTTATAAACCATTTACTAATCATAAGTTACATATTTTTGTGTGGGCTCATCTAAAATGTGGGCTGTTTATACTTTATAAATACTTTATAAATGTTTTGAGTGACCAGTGTAATTTCTCACAAAAAGATGGACATGCCATTGGTAAACATTCCAGCAGTATCTGATGCTCCTTAAGGTCTCAAAATGGCCCCTAGAACATATCAATGGTTAAAGAATAAGCACACAACACAGGATGGAAGAGGAAATGTATTGAACATTTTATTCACAAAAACTGTTGTGAAACAACTGTTGCAAGGACTTCAGGAAGAGTGGTAATGTGAATGTTTTGCTAATGTTGTCAACCTCGCGAACGCGAATTGATCGTAAAATCGGACTGGACAGTTTTTCTTCAGTGGATTTGTATTCCTTAATTACTACTGATAGTGATTGGGGTAGAAATGTTACATGTATGATTTGCAGGTAGAACTTGTATATGTACAAACTTTCAATGTTTCCAGTGCTTCAGTCTTTTAACTGCAGACTATTTTCACACATGGCTTTGTTTGGCGGCACCTTTACTGAGCCTTTAAAGGTAGTAACTCTTTAAACGTAGGGTAGCGTGGGGTAACTAGCTCTCCGGGGCTAGTTACTAGTAACTAGCTCTCAACTAGCTCTCAGTTATCATATTAAAAACTGCAAACATTTGCCTCCACCCTATGGCAAAATTGCATAGTAAAACTGCTAATTTTTCTCTCTGCCCCATGGCACAATTTGCAGAATTGCAGGAAATTAACTTTAAAATGTACATTTAAAAAGGGGGGGTATGGATGTGGGTACGCAGACCCACGAGCCACTTTGGCCCCTCATGATGAGTTCCGTTTTTTGGTGGCCCCCACCTCCATCAAAGTTTCCCAATCCTGATCTACACTAATTGAAGTGGATTTAACAGGTGACATCAATAAGGGATCAGAGCGTTCACCTGGATTCACCTGGTCAGTCTGTGTCATGGAAAGAGGAGATGTTCCTAATGTTTTATACACTCAGTGTATATAAGTTGTTTATAACTGTGTGATAAACTACGTTACTAGCATTTACAATGTGGGAGAAAATATTAGCGAATGATGATTAAACTATTTATTAAGCCATTATAAATGCTTTATTACGTGGAGTTATTATACTGTAAAGTGCTACTATTTTTTTGTTGCCAAAACAGAACAAAGAGAACTGTGTTGTGTCTGTGTCAACCAACATGCCAACAATATACATTCCAAAGACCTGCAAGTGTGAAAAAAGATGATGTATGTAAATTAAAACACATTGAGATTGTACTGTTGAATCGTAAGCACATCATTTTAACTGCCATATCTGCTCTTTTCTACTTGAAAAACTATATAGACTGCCACTTCATTTGTGCAATGGTCCCCTTTAGTATAAACTAGATTATATTATTTATTATACACATTGTCATTGCCATTTATGTTCAAACTGTGAATGTCAAGGCTTTTGGAGGTAGGCCTAGGCTATGCCGACAGACAGGTAATCAAAATAATTTGCAGTGATGGATAAGTGATGAGGGATATTGTTTATACAGAGACTTGTTAGAATAGTTATGTTTTATTGCATTTCAACACACAACGCTGATCAAAATGTTATGTCTGACAGTCCCCTTTAAATCACTCCCATAAAGTAGGGGGGTTCATTAAGGTTTAATGATACCAACGATGAAGATATTAGTCACATGGTAAGTTACGTAATTTCTTCCTCATATCCTCCATCTTTTGTTGAGTCATGGCTAAAAGGGATATAGCTTTTGTCAAATTCTCGAACATGCTGTAATTGCGGACTGCATTTCAGGGCATTTCTTGATGTGGGTGTTCCCTGATATCAGGAAATGCCCACTGATACCTGCCATTGGTCAGTTCCGGTGTTATGAGACTGATGGTTTCTCTACACAGAAGATTTGTTTCCATGGCAGGTTAGGATAACTAACGTGGCAGGTTAGGATAATTAACGTGGCAGGTTAGGTGAATTAGCATGGCAGGTCAGGAGACTGAGGTTAAGGTTAGGAAAAGGGTTAGGGTTAGGTTTAGCTTCAATGCTACAGTTGCCAACAACTGCTCGCAGTCCTATTTTGTTAGCATGCAGTGAGTCACTCAGCCAAAGGAGGCGGAAAGGGAGGAGAGTAGGGTCGAAGAGGCAGAGTCAGGAGACAGGAGGGAGAAGGATTTAGCAGAAGGGGTCCCGCTTTAAATGACGTTCAGCTTATAAAGACTTCATAAAGCCTTCATAATGACTTCATAAGCACTACATAAAAGTGTTACAAATCATCTATAACCGTTATGTCATGCTTTATAAAGGCTTCATGAATGTGGCATAACTGTGTGACATAATCACCATGTCAAACGTGATATAACCCACTATGTCGAATATGATATAAACATGTGCTTTATAAAGGGTGACATACGCTCTAAAGTGAAGTCATGTTAGTCACATTACACCTAATCTCGTTCCCAGACACTTCCTCCCAAATGCGTGGAAGGTCTGGTGGACCAACGCATCAAACTTGGCCTTCATTAGTTAGGGTTAGGTTTAAAATACAATTTTAAGTAGATACATTGTGGAAATGGACAGGGTTTAGCAATAATTCTTACTTTTTGACTGTGTTAAGTAGTGACAATGACAAATACTTTACTCAGTAAGGTCACTCCTATAGAATTATATGGTCACTCCCGCTAAGGCCAACTTTGAATGGTTGATTTCCCAGGCTTATATGTGCTGTGTGCGCAATAGCCTTGGGACGATGTTACACCAAGAAACACTTACCTCGATGAAAGCCCCCAACCTAAAGAAATTGAAAATGTCTTTCTTCTGGAACCAAGTTACATGTTCCTCACTACACAAACACGCACACAACAAAAGCGAGCTATACCTTCATAAATCAGCAGAACGTTAATAACCTGTTTATAACCTGTTTATTGACACGTTATGTAGAGTCCTGTAATACTTACTTCAAAGTCAGACCCCTTCGGTCATTCATAACACATACATAAATGGTTAATGATGTAAACACAAATGTATCAACACTTAGGGAATTATCACTAACAGCTAAAACAAATAAACATTAAAGACATGTTTAAACCCTACATTTCCTTTTATTTGTTCATTTTTAAAACAATACAAAAACATGAAGTTTCAAAAAGTCCAGCAATACAATTACATTGAACATTACACAGGGCTGTAAATAGTGTAGCTTGTTCCTGAGCTGGCGGACGAATGGTTTTTGCCTCTCTGCCTGCTGGAGGTACTGCATGTTGGCTCCAACCTTAAAAGTAACAACAAAGAACGTTAGCAGGTCTGTTAGGAAATGCCTTTGCACACCATCTGGATAAGGGCATTTCTGTGCTGCGTCAGAAACTCTAAATGGAAAATTGGGAAAAAAATTGAATTATTATATTCCTCTTTCATTTACAAATCTCATGACGTAACTATGAGACATGGCTGTATCTAGGGGGATTCGTATTTAGCTGAGCCTGCTAGCTAGCTACATTTAGGCTAGCTAGCAATTGCTGTGAAGTCACCAAAACTATTTGAAATAACCATTGAGGTAGCTATTGTAATCGAACTCAAATCAAATCAAATCAAATTTTATTGGTCACATACACGTGTTTAGCAGATGTTATTGCGGGTGTAGCGAAATGCTTGTGCTTCTAGCTCCGACAGTGCAGTAATATCTAACAAGTAATATCTAACAATTTCACAACATATACCCAATACACACAAATCTAAGTAAGGAATGAATTAAGAATATATACATATATGGACAAGCGATGTCAGAGCGGCATGGACTAAGATACAGTAGAATAGTATAGAATACAGTATATACATATGAGATGAGTAATGCAACATATGTAAACATTATTAAAGTGACTAAGATACAGTAGAATAGTATAGAATACAGT